ATAAATTACCAAAATAATTGAAAGTGATTATATATTGTTAGTTTGACAAAGAATATGCAGAATTTTGAAGAATTTTACAATATTGTGTGCAGAATTTTTAATATTTTGGTGCAGAATACTCACATGAGTAAATAATTTAAATGATCATTAACAGAAATCAGAGGGGTAGCCGTGTTAGTCTGTATCAGCAAAAACAATGAGGAGTCCTTGTGGCACCTTAGACTAACAAATTTATTTGGGCATAAGCTTTCGTGGGTTAGAGCCCACTTCATCAGATGCATGGAGTGAAAATACAGGAGCAGGTATAAATACAGGAAAGGATGGGGGTTGCTTTATTAAGTATGAGGTCAGTCTAACGAGATAAATCAATCAACAGCAGGATACCAAGGGAGGAAAAATAATTTTTGAAGTGGTAAGAGAGTGGCCCATTACAGACAGTTGACAAAAAGGTGTGAGTAACAGAGTAGGGAGAAATTAGTATTGGGGAAATAAAGTTTAGCTTTTGTAATGACCCAACCACTCCCAGTCTTTATTCAGGCCTAATCTGATGGTGTCCAGTTTGCAAATTAATTCCAATTCTGCAGATTCACGTTGGAGTCTGTTTTTGTAGTTTTTTTTGAAGAATTGCCACTTTTAGGTCTGTTATTGAGTGACCAGGGAGATTGGAATGTTCTCCTCCTGGTTTTGGAATGCTATGATTCCTGATGTCAGATTTGTGTCCATTTATTCTTTTGCGTAGAGACTGTCTGGTTTGGCCAATGTACATGGCAGAGGGGCATTGCTGGCACATGATGGCATATATCCCATTGGTATATGTGCACGTGAACAACCCCGGATGGTGTGGCTGAGGTGATTAGGTCCTATGATGGTGTCCCTTGAATAGATATGCGGACAGAGTTGGCACCGGGGTTTGTTGCAGGGATTGGTTCCTGGCTTCGTGTTTTTTGGTGTGTGGTGTGTAGTTGCTGGTGAGTATTTGCTTCAGGTTGTGGGGCTGACCTCGCAAGTTCAATTTTAAAATTCATTTTTATGTTTTTTACCTTGAACTGAAGTGTGTTTTCATTTGTGCTGGAGAAAGATCAAAGGTGTTGTATAGATAGATTACAATGTTTATTTCTAGTTCCTGGGCAACTTAATAGGAAAAGAAAACACATCGCCATTGGAAAAAGGTGATAATGTATTTACTGGAAACACACCTTGAGGTGTCGTACAGCTGATTGGCCAACATGGGTTTCCCATCTATTGTAATATTTTCTTTCCAATTATCACTTTAAAAGCTTTTTGTCTTTCCTTGTTTTTATAAGGTAGTGCCAAAACAACATTCTTCAATCACTTATTAGATATTCCATTTGTTTAGAAGAATGTGTGACGGGAAACTCAGCATCTTTAGACTTCATAACTTTTTCATGAGGAATGAGATGCACTTTTAATTTGTGTGTATATTTGCTTGTATATCATTTTTCAAAAGGCAATATAAATGAAAATAAACAAGTGTGTGGGTGTTTGAGGGGGATTGGTGGCACATGGTAAGGACAATGATATTGAGCAAATATTCTGCCTGAATTTTATTTACCAGTTAAAGTTATTAGTTTTTGTATTAAGGCCCCAAAACTGATATAGGAAAGTAAATGCAAAGTAATGCACATTTGAAAACCGAATCCCAGCTATACATATACAATGATTGGGTCTAAATTAGCTGTTACCATCTAAGAAAGAAATCTTGGCGTCACTATGGATAGTTCTCTGAAAACATCCACTTAATGTGCAGCGACAGTAAAAAAAGCAAACAGAGTGTCGGGAATCATTAAGAAAGGGATAGATAAGAAGACAGAAAATATCATACTGCCCCTATATAAATCCATGGGATGCCCACATCTTCAATACCACGTGCAGATCTGATCACCCCATCTCAAGAAAGATATATTGCAATTGGAAAAGGTACAGAGAAGAGCAACAAAATGTTTAGGGGGCATGGAACAGCTTCTGTATGAGGAGAGATTAATATGACCAGGACTTTTCAGATCGGAAAAGAGATGACTAAGGGGGGATATGATAGAGGTTTATAAAATCATGACTGGTATAGAGAAAGTAGATAGGAGAAGGAGTAAATAACACTTTCTTAACACAAGAACTAGGGGTCACCCAATAAAATTAATAGGCAGCAGGTTTAAAACAAACAAAAGGAAGTATTTCTTCAGACAACGCACAGTCAACCTGTGGAACTCCTTGCCAGAGGATGTTGTGAAGGACAAGATTATAACAGAGTTCAGAAAAGAACTAGATAAGTTCATGGAGGATAGGTCCATCAATGGCTATTTGCCAGGATGGGCAGGGATGGTGTCCCTAGCCTCTGTTTGCCAGAAGCTGGGAATGGGTGACGGGATGGATCACTTGATTCCCTGTTCTGTTCATTCCCGCTGGGGCACCTGGCACTGGCCACTGTCAGAAGACAGGATAGTGGGCTAGATGGACCTTTGGTCTGTCCCAGTATGGCCACTTTTAGGCTTTTATGACCCCTCAAGCTTTGGGGTGGGAATATCTTGCTGTATTACCTCCTGATGGTCTAAATTTACACACAAATGTAAAATATGGCTCTAAACTGGGCTTTATCTATAATCTTCTTTCTCCAGAAAGGAATTCAATACAGTGCTCCTGTTCGCTATTCTCAACAGTTGACAAGAAGGGGTGAATATTGGCCTCATTAATATTCACCCCTTCTTGTCAACTGTTGAGAACAGCCCACTTCCACCTTCATTGAATTGACCCTGTTAGCACTGACACCCCCCTCCCCCTTGGTGAGGCAACTCCCATCTTTTCATGTGCTGTGTATTTATACCTCCCTACTGTATGTTTCACTCCATGCATCTGATGAAGTGGGTTTTAGCCCACGAAAGCTTCTGCCCAAATACATTTGTTAGTCTCTAAGGTGCCATAAGGACTCCTCATTTTTTCTCTAACCTAGTGGCTCGCAACCTTTCCAGGCTACTGTTCCCCTTTCAGGAGTCTCCTCTCTTGAAAACTACTTGCTTACAAAAGCAGAAATACAAAAACTAACATCACAGCGTTTTTTCAGTCCGTGTCTGACTTTTCTCTAAGCCAGTGGCTCTGTATCCCTGGTACACAGACGTCTTCAAGGGGGTAAATCAGCTCATCTAGACATTTGCCTACGTTGTCAACAGGCTACAGAAAAAGCATCAGTCAAGTCAGTACAAACTAAAATATCAGACAATGACTTGTTTACCCTGCTCTATAGACTATCCACTGAAATGTAAGAGAAGTTTAAATACTGACCCTGCAGATGGGAACACAGGGACGTGAAAACGTCCCACCATCAGCCCTCAATATACACACACACACACACACACCCTCAACACACACACACACCCTTGACATACCCTCAACACACACACACGCCCTCAACACACATACCCTCAACAAACACACACACACCCCAACAGCCCTCAACACACACACACACACCCCTTGTCTGCCAATGCCCATGTAAGCAGATGTGTTCCCCCAAGTTTCCCCTCACCTGGAAAACTAAGACAAATCAGAGTCCTGCAATGGATACAGGAGTCTGGAAAGGTTGAGGGTCTAACCCACAAGATCCTGCTCCCTCTGAGAGCTGGGGATTGAGCCCCAGTGTCCTGGCTCCTGGCCCCCTGTTCTAACTCACTAGCTCCTGTCCCAGAGCTGGGAAGAGAGCGCAGGAGTCCTGACAACCCGTTTTAACTACTAGACCTCACTCACTCCTCTATGGAACCCAGGAGTCCTGACCCGCAGGCCCCCTACCTCCTGCATTAACCCACTAGACCCCACATCCTGATGGAACCCAGATGTCCAAGGCCCACCCAACCCTGCGCTCCTGTGCCCTGCTTCCACTCTATAGACCCCAGGCATCCTGGCTCCCACCCCCACTTCTCTAACCGCTGGATCCCGCTTCTCCCAAGGCCAGGAGTAGGATGTAGGAGTCCTGCCCTTAATCGACATGGCACCAGGAACAGAACCCAGGAGTCCTGCCGTTCCGTTCCTTTGCTCAGACCTGTGACCCCATGTTCCACCCCAAGCCTTCCAAGCGGAGCTGGTATCGCTCATTCCCCTAATTCAATTTCCCGGCAGGAGGGGAGGAGAATTTGTCAGCATGCAAAGAGCCGGCAAGAGGAACAGGAACGTACAGACTGTCCCAGGAGAAGTGTGCAAATCCGTTAAAGTTTCTATATTGCATCACAGCAGGTACCTGAGCCCTTCTATAAAAGGAGAATGAAACACAGGGACAGCCCAGGTGTGACAGGAAACAGGGAGAGCCTGGCACAGCTTTTCCCCTCTGCAGGATTAGTCACTGACTTCACCCAGGCAACTTTACTCTAAGGAGCATTTGGTAAGTGATACCCCTCCGGTCTGTTTGTGCTCTAATCATTAGATCCCACTCCCCTTCTGAAGCCAGGGATACATCCCGGGTGTCCTGGCTCTCAGCCCCTCCTTCTCTAACCACTAGACCCCACTCCTCCACCATATGACTATTAATGGAGGTTTTGTATTGAGGACTGTTTGCAATGGCAAGCTCTCACTTTAATGGACTGGGGGAGAGTGGGGTTTCCTGGTCCTGCTGTCTGGCTTGGGGGCTCTGCAGGGAATTGTGGGAGCAGTGGCAGTCTGCTAAGAACCAGCCTAGAACAAGGTGGGCTGAGTTGTCTCGCTGCATAGAGAGCAGCCTGCTTTGTCTCCCTCTTGTTTGTGGTTTTTGTGGGTGATTGTCCTGGATCCCCAGAAACAGTCACCTTACGCTGCAGCATTCTGGCACGAGTATTTGAATTTTGCATCTGACTTCTCCATGTGGGTGCCACGAACATACCAGCCTCAAAGGTGTCAGAGGTGCAGCTACCCCAGAGCTGTGGCCAATGGCTCTGAGGTTTCAACCCCCCGTCAATGGGCTCATGCATGTGCAATCTCTCTTCTGATCTCATTTCAGCCTGTCTGTGATAAAGACCCCAGCACCGATCTACTGGTTCCCCATCATCATGGAGGCTTCTCTTGCCGTCTGCATCCTCGCTGCCCTCCTGGCTATAGGTGAGTGGGGTCTGTTCCTACAGGGGCTGATTTCCTAACTTCTCCAACGGACCAACAGCTCAGAGCCGCCTGCCAGGTGAAACTGTTACTGAACATAACCGAAAAGCAGCCACAGAATAACGGGGGCTGAGCTGGGGGCATCGGAGTGACAACGTCCATGGAGGAGAGGGCTGGAAGTCACAAAGTCCCCGTGACAGCGAGTGAAACAATTGTGGAAATGGGAGGAAATATTTATTCTTTAAATCACTGACTGGGTGTGTTCCAGAGGCCAAGGATATTCCTAAAGGGGATTTTCCCCACGAGTTTGTCTGAAAGGCAGCAGATCTGAATTTCACTCACAAGAGTTGAAGATGATATAAAAGGCATTTTACTCCATCCCCAGATGGGGTTAATGGGCTGCAGCTCCGTTGGTGTCAATGGACCTCAATTACATTCAGGGGAAGGTGAGGGGACAAGGAAGGGACAAATCAAGACCCCTCATGTTCTCTCTCCTTAGGGTGACCATATTTCCCTGTGCTTAATATGGGACACCTGGTCAAAATACTCGTATTCCAGCTGCAATCAATCAGAACTGTGCAGTACAAACATCCAAATTAACATCAAGTTGGCGGAGCTCCTGATAAAAAGAAATCAGGCGTAGCTGGATTCTTTTTATTTACCTTCTTATCTTTAAGGCTTTATTGTTTAGACAGGGAGGGGTGACACAAGCACACCCACACGGGGGAGGTGACACACACACACACACTCCCATACACCTCTTTCACACGGGCGGTGGGGGTGACCGACCGACCCTCCTCTCCCTGACTGGCGCTCTCCACCCTCCATTACTGGCTGGGCCCTCAGGATGGGCCCGATTCTCCCAGTACCCGGTGCTGCATCTTCCCAAGGCAACACACGGGGGAGGCACAGGGTCAAATACCCCCCGCCTCCCCCAGATTTCTGCCAGGGTTCATACTGGAACATGGCCAGCAGCAGCCTTTTGGCCCTGTGTGGGAGGGAAGGGATGGGAGCTGCTTCCAGCCACGGGGTGTTGGTGGGGGGAAGAGATGACCTGGCTTGTGTCTTTGCAGAGTTCATCTCTCCATCCCAACCCCCAACCCTGGCTTCCCTGTGGCTGGAAGCTGGCCACAGACATAACCCAGCCATCCAGTGCCCTGGTTACAGCACGGACAAGAAGGGGTTAAGCCCTAAGGACGCAGTTTGAACCCGGGCCAGGGAACCTGACTGCAGGGGCTTTAGCGAACCCGGCCAGAGAGGTGGCTCAGCAGGGGCGGGTGCCAGGGAATGGAGCAGCCCCGTGTTCCCTGGGGGCAGGACCCAGGGGGGGTGGGGGTTGAAGAGGTTGCTAAGCTCCTGCTCCAGGGACTGCTGTGGATCCTGCAGGTTCGGGGTGGGAACAGGCTGGAAATCACTTCTCCCCTGCCCCCCCCCCAACTCCAGAGCTTAGCTGAGGGGCGGGGCGCCTTCCCCGTGCCAGCGCTGTGCGGGGCTTTGGCACATGCCGGGCTCGGCTCCTCCTGGCCAGCGCCCTGAGCCGGAGGGTCTTTGGCTTTCCCGGGACACCGGCCCAGTCAGAGGCAGTGGGGGGAGGAAGGAGCTGCCGGCCAGGCTGCCGGTGAGCTGAGCGCTCCGACCGGGGGCTGGCTCTCTGCACAGCGCTGGGAGCAGGACCTGCCCCACCGGGGGGGATATGGAGGAGCAGCGGGGCAAGGGGGTTGAGAGGCAAAGCAGGGAGAGGACAGCGAGAGGGGGAGCATGTGAAGGGCAGCAGAGGTGACACATAACCAGCTGGTGCCTGCCCGCTCAGCAGCCAGCGCCGGCCGGAAACAAGACGGAGGGTGGGACCCTGCTGTCGGAGAGCCGACACGCAGCGGGGGCTGCACTGACAGACCAGCGGGGAGAACGGCCGGCCCCGCGCGCTGCATCTTCGCCCCACCACCAGCCTTGCACACCCACCCCCATCGTTAGCCACTGGACCCCCCCCACTCACCGCTGGTGGGTGGGCAGCTGGCGAGCAGGAATCCGGCTGTACTGATGGGGGAGACAGTAAATACGGGACATTTTGTCTGTTTTTAAGAAAAATTTGGGGCATCTGCAGGAGGCCTTAAATAGGGGACTGTCCCTTTAAATACTGGACGTCTGGTTACCCTCTCTCTCCTTCTCCAGGGACCTGTCTGCAGTGTGAGGTTTGCGCTGGAGCAGGAAACAACTGCACGGGCGACATGCAGACCTGCGCCGCTGGGCAAGACTCTTGTGGCATCTTACTTACCGAAGTCATAGTGGGTAGGTGAGAGGGACCCTAACCAGCCTGGGTCAGGGAACAGGCTGGGGAGCCAGGACTCCTGGGTTCTGTGCTGCACCTTCCTCTGGGACGGGAGTGGGGTGGCTGGGTTCAAACGGGCAATGGCTGGGAGCCAGGACTCCTGGGTTCTGTGCTGCACCTTCCTCTGGGACGGGAGTGGGGTGGCTGGGTTCAAACGGGCAATGGCTGGGAGCCAGCACTCCTGGGTTTTGTGCTGCACCCTGTGGGCTAATACACCAAGGGGGTCTCAGTCTCGGTATTGCAAGCAGTGGGTCTCACATGAAAGGCCCAGCAAATTCACAGTGCTGCAGCTTGGACAGTTCAAACACTGTCCTGGCAACAGGTTGACGTGCCGTCAGTAAAGGCAGACACCCGGACCGTGTAAAGAAGAGGTGATAGGTAGAATACCACCAACATGACACGGTTGCGACTAACTGTATGAACTGAACAGAACGAGTTTGCTGTAAGAAAGCGTCTCAGACATTTTTACTTGCAAAGCCGTCGTAAATATCAGGGAATGATTTTCTATTTCATTCACGGCAAAGAGGGGGAGGAGAGGGAGCCAGATCTTCCTCCCCCAGACAGAGCCAGCTGCCCTACGGCGCTCTAAGGAAACACCACCGCCCCCACAGTGCTGCTCCAGGGGGCAGAGCCGGTGCTGGGGCAGGGAACTCGGAGACGGGGCTCTGGGACCCCAAAAGTCACAGCGGCTGCAACTGAAGCCTCTGGTGGCCACATGTGGCCACAGTAGCTGCGCTTGGGAATCAGTCCAGGTGACTAGCCAGCCTGTGGGCCAGGGGCTCACTCAGGATGGGATCCGCAAAAGCCAGCACAGCCAGCAGGAGCTGCTTAAGCCAGTAGGAAATGCCGAGGAGAGGGGTGTGGCATAAGCCCCACCCCTCACCCAGAGTTCGGCGCTAAATCCACGCCCAGCTCTGGTTGGGCTCCACAGCCGGGAACCCCTCGCCGGGAGTCGGGAGTCTGGACCGGGTCCAGCCCTTCATTGTCAATGGCGGGTGTGGTAGAGAAAGGGCTGCCCTGAGACCCCAGCGGCTGGGCACTCAGACGGGCCATGGGGGAGCCAAGTTCAAATCCCCACTTGGCTGAAATCAGGCTGGGGACGTCAGCCCAGACCTCTCCCCTCCTACGGTCGTGCCTGGCTCTCTGGTCTCCGGGTGGGTCTCTCCGGTTTGAAAACGCTGCACGTTTCATGAAATAGTTGAACATTCTCTGGAACCTGGTTCTCCCACACCAATGGGGAGCGTCCGACCCTGGGTATATGGGGGCAACCCCCCACCCTGCCATCTCCTGTCATGGCTGGGCTTTGTACAGGGTCCGGATCCGGTGGGTGTGCTCCAAGGGCGTCCCCTGGATCAGGCCCTACAGGTGATATTGGCAGGGGAACGCCTAGTCTGTGAATCTTGCCATGGCTAAGGGGTGGCTGGACGCCTGGTGTTGGGATTTTGGCGGCCCGGCACGTACCCCCTGGTGGGAACTTTGGCGGCGAAAGGATTTTCTGGGCAGGAGTTTTGGGGCCCTCGGTTAGGCAGCAGCTGAGTGGGAAGCTGGATGATTTAAGTGTTCAGTTTAGGAGTTGAAATTGCTTTTTTTTATGGCCCTGCAGGACCTCTGGTAAGTCACGTCCTCTCTCTGTGCCTCAGTTTCCCCATGGGTAGAGGAAGGCTAATGGCACAGGGCATCATTGTGAGGTGGACGTCAATGGGGTGGGAGTGGAATGGAATAAATCTGTCTTCTCCTCCTGTGCAGTGGGAATTAAGAGACAGAGCGTTCACAAGGGCTGCGTGACGTCCAGCCAATGTAAAGCCGACCTCGTCTCTATGAATTTTGGGAATGAAATGACAACAAGGACGAGCGTCACCTGCTGCGTGGGAGACGCCTGCAGAACTGACAACGTTACGTGTAAATCTCCCCATCTCCGCCTCCCCTCCCCGTTCCCCTGCACCTCCTGTTTCCTGGAATGTACCCCACCTTAACTTCCTGAGTCTGGTCATCCTGCCCTGCAGGGGGCGCCCCATTGGATAACACTGAGCCACTGGGGGAGGTGGAGTTTGGTGGGCGGGGCTCTAGGCTCCCACCAGGTGTGAACCCAGCTGACCCCACCCGGGGCGGGATCCAGGGCTCCCTGCTGCAAACCTCTCCCCGGCCCCTGCTGCCTCTCGTGTCCCCAGAGCTACAGCTCCCCCTGCAGGGGGCACCCAGGGCTGAGCTGTGCAGCCCCCAGCTGCTCTCCCTGCCCCGACGCCTCCTGGGGCTCGTCCCCCAAGCTGACTGCGTTTGCTCCACTTCTTCCCAGTGCCCCCGGCTGACACCAAACCCAACGGCCGGAGCTGCCGTGGCTGCTACGCTGTGTCCACTGATCACTGCCGTGAACAGACCATAGCGTGTACTGGAAACGAGACCCAATGTATTAACGACACCGGGACCATAATGATTGGTAACTTCAATTCTTTTATTCTGGGGTTATTTTTCCTTTGCTCTCCGCCCTGCAGGGCAGAAGCGAGATGCTGGGTTGATAGGGAAAGGTATTGGCTGCAGGTCAGGACACCTGGGTTCCGTTCCCAGCCATAGGTGCTGGCGCTCGGGTTGCTGGGGGTGGTTTCCATCATATGCAGGGTTTGCAGTTTGGTTCCATGGCTCTCAGCACCCCCACTCTCCAAACTGACCCAGCGTGCCTGTTCCCAGTGTATCCCCCACACCACCTGGGAGTGGGGTTCTGCCCCGTCTAGTGGCACTGAGACCATTCAGAGAGAGATAAAATGAGTCTGGTTTAAAACCTTAGCTAAGCATCAGTTGGCTTTTAGCTCATGCAGTAGGGACTCGTGCACTAAGCTCCAGAGGCCCCAGGTTCAATCTCGCCTGCAGATGACCAGGGTCTGTCGGTGTTACACCAGCACTGGCCCCCGGTGTGACCTTGGACTAGTGTCTTCCCCTCCCTGTGCCTCTGGTGCTCCTCCATCCATTGCTTGTGTCTAGTTTAGTCTCTAAGCTCTTTGAGGTAGGGACTGGTTTAGTCCTGGGAGCGCCTGACATGCCAGGCACTGACAGACCCCAGTGAAGATAAGGGACCCATGCTGTGCTGGGTGCTAAAAACTCATAGGAAGATATAGTCCATGCCACCGAGAGTCGCTGTAGGCATAGTGAGGATCATTGTCCCCATTTAAGAGGTGGGGAAACCGAGGCACGGAGCAGTGCCGTGACTTGCCCAATGTCACACAGGAAGCCTGTGGCAAAGCTGGGATCTGAACCTAGTTTTGCGGAGTCCCATCATGGTGCCTTAATTCACTACAAAGCCGCCCTGCGTAGAGATCCCAGGGCTGCCACCAGCACTGAGCTGCTGCTTTGCTAAATGAGACGTGCTGCTAATCCAGGCCTGATCCAATGTGAGTGCTGTCAGTGGACTCTGGCTCGGGGCTGCAAGTGACTTGTTCAAGGACACACAGTGCATCTGCGTTGGACGGGGAGGGCATGCGGGGCCAGGCAGGCTGTGGGGAGTAGAGCAGACAGGGAGATGGAGGCTGTGGGGAGTTTGGATGGGCCCCAAGGAGGGGGAGGCTGTTGTATCCTACTCCAGCTTGAGGAATGGAGCTGCTCTCTTGACAACAATCGCCTGTCCCCCAACCACACACAGGTGGAAAGCCAACGGAGATGGTCATGAAGGGCTGCGTTTCTGCATCCGTGTGCCCCCACTTAAAAGTGGGTTCGTCGGACTTCACAGGGATCAGCTTCAATCTAACCATGAACAAATGCACAGAGGCTTCCGATGCGGCAGGCATTGCTCCGGGACAAGCCGGGCTCCTCCTCACAGCCCTCGCTGGGCTCCTCCTGATGAAGCTACTCTCCTGATTCTACAGCCGGTGCAACGGCGACACTGCAGTGAAATACACCCTGCAGCCTGCATTAGCCGCTCTCCCCCCGAGGGGTTCTCGGCTCCGGGATGGACTCACATCCCCTTGATGTTGCTGCACTGAATAAAACACACTGGAGACCAAACTCTGGAATTGTATTTATTTCAAATGGAAAAAAAAAATAGTGTGTGTGTGTGTGTGTGTGTGTGTGTGTGTGTGGTGCCATCAAGAAGCCTGTTAGGAACATAAGAGTGGCCACAGCTAGTCCTGTCTCCGACAGTAGTACAACCAGAACTTCAGGGGCAGTGCACAGAACACAGTAATTTAGGACAGACCCACCCTGGTCTTCCCCTCCTGGCTTCTGGCAGTCAGAGGTTTAGGGACACCCAGAGCAGGGGGTTGTGTCTCCGAGCATCTTGGCTAATTGCCATGGATGGCCCTATCCTCCAGGAACTGATGGAGTTCTTTTCTGAACCCTGCTATACTTTTGCCCATCCCCTGGCAGTGAGTTCCACAGGTAAATTGTGCATTGTTGGGAAAAACACGGCCCCTTGTTTGTTTGAAACCTGCTGCCTGTTCATTTCTTTGGGTGACCCCTGGTGCTGTGGGACAGGGGAAATATTATTTCTCTGGTCACTTTCCCCACCCCATGGCATGATTTTCTAGCCCTCAGTTGCATCCATCCCTCCGTTGTCTCTTTGCCGAGATAAATGGCCCTAATCATTTTAGTCCCGCCTCCTAAGGAAGCTGCTCCATGCCCTGAGATTAGGTTCAGAAAGACCCCAGTGGGGAAAGCAGGTACCACAGGCTGGGGGCTACACAGCCCAGGAGAACGTCAGTTCAGCCTCCGATGGGGGCTGGGAGCCAGGAGTCCTGGGATCCATGCAGAAAGGACTGAGGGTCTGGTGACTGTCACACCCTCCCTCCTTCCCCACAGCACAGTGCCCGTAGCCCTGCTGCTGCGTCTGACCACAGCGAGGCCCAGCCCAGGGTGTGAGCAGGTCTCGGATCTATCTCCCCAACGTCACCGCAGAGGACAGTGGTTTGGAAGTGAGGTGAAGTGGAGCGGGGGCGGGAAGGGGGCTGCGTCTACACTTCCAACGGGGAATTGTGGCTGCTGGGTTCTCTCCCTGCCGTGGGGCGAGGCGTGCGGGCCAATGGCTGTGACGGAGGATCCCAGGAGAGCAGTACAATGCCTACTGCCCTCACCCAGGTGCCGCTCAGGAACAAGCCCTCACCTCTACTTCCTTATCTGCCAAATCCAGGGCCTGGGGCATCTGCTGGCACCCGGCAGGGGCGGGGCAGGAAAACGCCTTTCCTTGGAACAGGACTGAACAGACGCCAGCGGCTCCAACAATGCCAACGCCGGCATCTCCAAATGAACCCGGGGGCCCTCCAGCCAGCGCTGCTGCAGAGCAGAGAGATCAGGGGCTTTGCTGATGCCGTTCCCCCTTTCCCACCCGAGCAGCTAGTCAAAGTTCGGCCAAGGTTAATGTTGGACCGGGCGGAATTGCAAAGCCCCCTGCTCCCGCGCTGGAGATGTGAGTCTCACTGGCTCCAATGGACGTACTTGGCTGCCTTCAGCCAGGACCCAGGACATCAGATCTCTGCCCCACCCTTAGCAGGGAATCCAGGGCAGGATGAGCTCCCGGCCCAACGAGGAGTGAATCGCAAGCAAGACGTACGTGGGTGTGAACGTGACCTGGAGTTTTTGGAGTAGGGCCAGAGGCGTTTTTGCTGAGCGTTGTTTGAGGAAGCCATTTTGAGGGACAGGAGGCAGAGCACCCAGTGCAGGGCAAATTTTGGTTAACATCTACTTTCCCTATAGGGCCATCTTGTTTTGCCTTTTGTTGTTGTTGGGCAGCCATGTTTGTTCCCCTTCTTGTCCACTAGTTTGCCGCCCTTTGGAGAAAAGGCGGGAAAGGCTAAGAGCACATGACCAACTCATCTATCTACCCGGCAATGGGAGGTTATAAAAGGCCATCTCCCCGGTCACTCAGGGCTGGCCGCCTGAGAGGCAGCTAGTAACGCCCGCTTAGGGTTAGGTTGTTAGCCCATAAGGTAGGCTAAGGCCATAACAGCTCTGGTCTTAGGGTAGGGCTACCTACCGTCACGCCATCGGCTGTCCTTAAGATCCGGAGCACGTACACACGCACAGGGCGACGCGGGGAAAGAAGACCAGAGTGGGAGAAGGCTGACGTAGCTGTTCGGAGCCCCGTTTTCACGAGGAAGGCCAGCCAGGGAAAGACCGGCTACCTGTCCGTGGTCCTGTTGCCTCCTGTCCTGCTGGGCCTGCGAGCATCCATCGTTCCCGTCGTCTGCGCTGGTCGAGTGACATCTTAGCACTCCTGGCCACTGACCTTTGTGCGCAGGGTGGGTCTGACCTTCATGCTCTTGTGTTAACTGCCGACGCTGGTTTGTATTTGGCCCCTGTAGCAATGCAGGACTCACCCCGCGGCGCCTCCTGCTGGTCGTCTCTGGGAATTAGCATTTCCAGCCCCCGGAGCGCCCTCTGCAGGCCGGTGTGCCGCTGCCGCTTGGCCCACGTGTCCCTCCCAGGACTCCAGTGCCCAGTTATCTGGCGTGCTGCCCCCTGGCAGTACATCCCTCAGTCTCGGGGTCTCCCCTCCCTGGGGAACCCCTATCCCCACCTCGCCTCAGTCATAGGCTACTGCCAGTCACCAGCTAGCCCCCGCACCCTGGGGCAGACTGCAGTGTCAGCCACTCATCATAGGGAAGGTTCGGTCTGGTCCTGCTGCCTCTCTCTGCAACCCAGTGCCTGTATGGGGCCTTGGACAAGGCCCTGCAGGCCCTCAGGCGCTAGGGGGCAGGACCCTTCTCCCCAGTGTCGGCCTCATGGTCAGGGTCAAGTCCGGTCTGCCAGGCCTCGTGCTGGCTGACTTCTCCCTGCACTGGGCCCTCTGCCCAGCCCCCAAGCTCTCCCCAGCCGCTCGCTGCGCTCGGAGCCAGTGGCATGTGTGGCAGGGCCGGTGCCTGCTGTTCCGGCTTCGCACCCGCGGCTCCCTCTGCAGCTGGGCCCTGGCTCCCCATAGGCGCGGCTGGTCTGCGCTGCTCCAGCTCCCAGCTCCCCCTTCTCTGCCCCCAGCCCAGCTCGGGCTGCTTCTTTCCCCTTAGCTCTGCCCTATCCTGCCTTAGCCAGCCCCAGCTCACACAGAGGATGGGACCCGGACTCCTGACTCCCTCACTGGCCTGCCCGCCCTGTCAATCAGGCTGACCTGGAGCGCTGGCCTCTCCCCATTGGCCCCGGGGCCTGTCAGTCTCAGGATCCTGCTTTGTCTTCGACCCTTCCCCTTTATTTTAGTACTGGGAGAGAGCCACCCCCCCACCCCCCGTGCCACGTGTCAGTGAGGGGCCTTAGCCCCCCGGCACTTCCACGAGGAGCTGTGAGGAAATTTCCCATCACAATTTGCTTTTTTTTAATGGAAAATCAGGTTTTTCAACTCAAAAATTTTCACAGCAGGGACCTGCTTTCCTCCAAGTTTTTCCATTTTTGTCAACCCACCTCCACCAAAATTATTTTTTCCCCCCAGTTTTTGGCCATGTTCTCTTCATTTGAGTTTTTTTGGTTAAAAATTGGTTTGTTTTTGACAGTTTTTGGCCAAAAACTTGTTCAGATTTCAGCCCAAACCAATAAATTTTCCACCTGTTTTTTTGCTGAAAACTGTTTCTGTTTTGATAGTTTGGGCTCAAACCATTTCTGGGTTTAGGTAGAAAATTATTCATGTTTACGCCAATAATGGTTCAGTTTGTAGCCAAAACGTTTCCAGTTTTTAGCGCTTTTCAACCAACATTATTTTGTATTTTCAGCTTGAATGATTTTCATTTGGGGCTGAATTTCTTTTGCCTGCAATTTCCTGCCAAAAGTTTTGTTTCAGATTTTTGAGGTTTTCAGGGTTATTTTTTTTTTCTGATGAAATCTGACGTTTCCTCTGGGTTGGGGGCAGGAATCCAGCTCTACTCTTGCATAACATTTGTGACAGTGTGAGGGAGCTGGGGCTGACGGACAGGAGGAAGAGACACCGAGGATAAACCCAAATTACAACCAGCCTGAAACCAGAGCTGTTGTCAAGGTCATTGATGGGAGCCCCTGGGATGATTTTGCCAGAATGGTAGAATCTCAACTGCATTGTTTCAGAGTTGGCCAGCGACCAAGGATATTCCTGAAAGAGGATTTTCCCCGCGAGTTTGTCTGAAAGGCAGCAGATCTGAATTTCACTAACATGAGCTCAAGACAATATAAAAGGCATTTCTACATCAAGATTCCCAGTTGGGGTCAATGCGCTGTTGCTCCATTGGTGTCAATGGGACCAGATCCGCAGCTGGGGTCAGTTAAATTCAAGAGAAAGTGAGGGGGCAAGGGAGGGATGAATCTAGACCCTCATTTTCTCTCTCTTTCTCCAGGGACCTGTCTGCAGTGTGAGGTTTGTGCTGGAGCAGGAAACAGGTGCAAGGGCTGTATACAGACCTGCGCCGCTGAGCAAGACTCTTGTGGCATCTTTCTTACTGACAGCATACTGGGTAGGTGAGATGGACCCTAACCAACCTGGGTCAGGGAACAGGCTGGGGAGCCAGGACTCCTGGGTTCTATGTCAGACCCTATGGGCTAGCTCCCAATGGGGCTTAGACTCAGCATTGCATGGCTGAGTCACTTTCCCGCTCCGTGCCTCAGTTTCCCCACGGGTAGAGGAAGGCTAATGGTACAGGGCTGTCGTTGTGAAGAGGACAGTGATGAGGTGGGAGTGGAAGGGGAACAAATCTCAGACTCCTCCTGTGCAGAGGGAGGTCATTCTCACGGACTGTACAATATCAAGCGAATGTAAACGCAGCCCCATCTCTATGAATTTTGGGTACATAATGACCAGGCTCCTCCTCCCAGCCCTCGCTGGGCTCCTCCTGCTGACACTTCTCTCCTGATTCCCCACCCGGTGCAACGGCGCCGCCGCACTGAAATCCACCCCTGCAGCCTGCGTTAGCTCC